TGGGAGCGAACCAACTGAGTAGGAACCGATTGTGTGACAACGATTCAGCAAGAAATGGAGCTGACATCACAAGACGAGCCCTGGAGTGGAACCCGAACGGGAAGCGGCAAGTCGGCTATCAGTGGAATGGTGACATGTAGGAAGTTATATAAGGAACAGCTAAAAGCATATGGACAGACCTGCTGCCAGGTGGAAACGTTGTTATTGAACCGACTGCAATGGAGACGTGCAGGTGAATCCCTATGTTCCTCTAGGAAATAAAGGAAGTAACATTAACATAAAGTAAATGTAATAATAATATTTCCTTGTACTTTTTATTTGAGTTATAAGATCTTTTCAGACATCTGTCTCTTCATACGAAACCTCTACTGAATACGGTGTTGTAGAATTTTATTATATTTTTTGTACTACTGTGAATTCATATGAAATGTCTTCCAGTTTCCCCCCTTGAAGAGATGCAAGGAGAAATTTGAGAATATAGGTAACTTTGACCAACCACTTGCATGAAATAAAATGCCTACTGGCATTGAGTCAAAGGCACACTACTAACCCTTATTACAGCCTTTAATATTCGACGTAATATGACATAGTGTTTTAGAAGAAGTCCAGAGAAGAATAATGGAGAACATTAAATAAAAAATGGACAGGATACATGTATTAATAAATTGTAAGAAAAGAGGCTCAGTTATGATGCCAGAACGTCTCAACTTCTTCATCTAACACGTCAAACGAAAGATCCTCTTAGAATTCAGCAATCGCGAATTGGCATAAGTTAAGATTCAAGGGCCACTGGATCGGGTCTCAGTGGCTCAATGGTCTGCGAGCTTTCCTTGTAACCTGAAGGTCCTGGGTTCAAACTTCGGTGGGTGCGTACTTCTGAGGTGTCCCAAACTAGGACGAAGGAAAGAGCTGTGAAGCACTCCCAGGTTTTCCAGTGATTCTCTAACTGATGTCAGCTCACGGGGAAATCTCCCATGAAATCAGCAATCATATGGAATGGCCAATATAGATTCGAAGAAAGGCTGATGCCCAGACGGGAGATATTCGATTTACTTCCTATCAAAGTGCCGTCAGTATTACTGCAATCATGGGATTGAATCAGTCCATGGAAGTCCTGTTCGCATCTGAAACTATAATCAGCAAAGTAACATTTATATGGATTTATTTTAAGACCATTTGGGCAAGACTATTTGTTAACCTCAGGTAAGAATCGATTCGTATAAGAACAATCCAAGACAGAAACTACTGCCATATTTAATAAAGTTAGATTTGGGAAAATATGGAGGGTCATGTAAAAAGAAAAAAAGGGGAATGGAGAGAGAACAACGCCTTGAGGCACACCAGTCTCCGTTAGCAACGAGGTGGAGCAATTTCCATTTAAAAACGGTATGTTGTTTTCTACCCGAAAAATAAGAAGCCAGCCATGCTGTGTGCACTTAGGACTCAGTTTGCTTCGTAAAAATGCCCCAGGGAATAGAATCAAAAGCAGAAGTGTATTTTGTAAAGGAACACCTTTATCAAGACGCAAAACCTTATTGTGGTGGTATACAACAGCAGCTTCCATAGTGCTTCTACTGCATTTGTAAGCGAACAACTTTGGATCCTTGAAAGTTTTCAACGAAAGCTTAAGAAAGTGTGAGGTGAAGTTTCTTCAGAGTTCTCAAAAATAGATAACCTCATCCAGATACTTTGGTATAGGCGTCACCTTTGTTTATTTCTGAGGAGCAGGTACTGCATTGCTGTGAAACGATGCATTAGAGATTTGTGCAAGAGGCTGAAACAAAATATCACCATATATTTGAAGAAAAATGCTTGGTACACCATTTGGCCCTAGGCTGTGTGATGAAGCTTAGGGTTTGAGACATGAAAATACATCATTTGTGTAACTAGAAACATTAGATTCATTCATAGTAGTACTGTGGCATTATAAAAGATTTATCCATGGCATTTACATCAGGATAAACATCAAGTGAAATTCGTTTTCTCCTTTTAAGTTGACTGAAAAGGCTTCTAGATGTTTGAGGCATTCTTACATGATAATAATATTCCACTTTACATCCCATTTGGTCTTTGTATTTTAGATTTAATTACAGAGTTAAATCTTTGAACATCAGCATTCTGATGTGATTTACACAGTTTCCCTTCCTCTCTCCCAAGCTTTCTACAGTTGTGGAGAAGAGATCAAAGCAAACGTTGGTAGTCAGTGGTCCGAAATGTCTGACATCGTTTGTTGTTTGCTTGTCATCAATAATCTACTCAGTACATGCGTCTAACGAAACCTTTAAGTTATTAATATTTTGTTGAAATTTTGCAACATCAGACCATAATGTATATATATATATCTTCAATACACAGAAAATAACCTCTGCGGAACTCAACTTAACGTCTTGCAATATCGGCACTATATAAATAGATCGTGTAAGTCAGACAAGAGTATATAGATCCAAGGAAACGGCTGACCGAATGACTAAGAATAACCAAAGCGTAATTTGGGCAGAAACCTCAACAAAAATAAATTACTTCAGAAATGAAATAGTTATACATGATGTCAATAGGGTTCCTAACGTTAATTCAAAACACTTATTGTACATAAAATCATCGAAATGTTCGTATGCCATGTCATTTCAAAATCTATTTATTGCTGGAATACTGGTTTTAAAATGACCCCTTACTACTTTGATGAGTCTGGTAGGCTTTCCATTGAACAGATCAACAAAACCAGGAGGAGGCGTTGGTGGTGAATGACTATCCTATAAAATTCATTAGGAATATCAAAAAAAATGGTGAAAAGTAAAATAAAAATAAGAGTGAAACCAATAATGATAACATAAATCAGAGAGAATGTAAGGCATCTACAGTTGTACCAAATAAGGAGGGAGGGGACATCTGAGACCCTACTTAGAATTCTTAATAAAGCATAAAATTAGGTTGACATTCAACTCTACAAACATACTCAGATAGGAAAAGCTCTGTAGGCTAAATGACCCTACTGATTGACCCAATCAGGCAAAATAATATAATTTATGAATTACCTTGCAATGACTGTGAGATCAGCTACATAGGTCAAACTAGTAGGTGGCGGATAGTCTGATTATCGGTACAAAATATTTTAGATAAGGTGAGAATGGTTGATCCCAAGAAGATGAGTAATTTAGGAAAGACACTCAACAGTTGTACTACATGCATTAAAAACATCCACACAATAGTGTGTTGGGAGAGGGTTAAATTTCTAAAAAGTAATAGATGTGGGTGTAGAGAGAAACTCATTGCTGAATCCTGACTGGTTCATCGAGTCCACACCCAACACCTCACATGCAACAGAAATGACTTAATGCAAATACCAGAGATATGCATGGAAGATATTATTACTACCAGTCAGTCAAATCAAAGGAGGATAATAAATAATCTTTAAATTCTATTTCGATTCAAGCAAATCATAACATTCTATCAGGTTACTTATTATGACTATAAAAACACTCGTCTTATTTCCCATCTGGCTGTATTTGATTGATAACATTCATTTTATTATTTCTGAATGTACAATATCACATAATGATTTTTATTCAAATGTCTTGTCAATCCCACTCATGTATATGAATGAAGGAAAAAGTTGTGTGAGTGAGTAACTTGATATGATTATGAGTGGCAATAGTTTGTGCTCGAAACGTGGTCATCACTTAATATTACTGTATAACAACACTGCGTAATTTATGAAAATAAAACCTTATCCATAATGGGGTTCTACTCTATCACACTGTCCACGTTTTATGCCTATATCGATTTACAAAGTGTTGTAAATATCTCTGCAAAGCTATTGACGGTTATTTGATTGGTCATTCGCGCGTATCGATATACTTTAGTATTGCCGTGGTGTGGACAGTTTGTTTCATTTGCCTCAGCCTGGGGTACAAGTCACTTTAAATCAAACTTGCAGCTCTTTCATATCAGTATAACTGTATAGGTAGAGCAGAAGCAATCATTTACTAATTTAGTAACTTGAGATAGTTGACTGTAAATTATATGCGTAAAGAAATCCTATAATCACATAAGATGTTACGTTTTTTATGTTTTAAAGGTGTTGGTTGGCAGAGATTTGATTGGCTACAGGACTGATCAAGATCTGATAGCAATTAGAGAACCACTGGAAGACCTATGATTACTAGACAGTCGTCTCACCCTAGTGTGGGACTATTAAACAAGGGGATACTTACTCGCTGATGGTTGCGCTAATTAGATGTACCATGAATTAGCAGAGGCTGAAATTCATCGACCGCAAGGCATGGTCCCAGAGGCTTAATTGTCTATTAGCTCGCCTTGTAACCGGAAGGTCCTAAGGTTGAACCCTCCTATGGTGAATGCCTACTGTGAAGAGTCACAAACTAGGACGTAAGAAACAGCTCTCCAGTACTCTCTGGTTTTCCAGTAGTCCTCTAACTAATGTCAGTTCATGACCAGTCATGTTGTAAAGGTTTTTACCAACTTCGTTTTACACAGATAGACAAGAGTTCGACATACTATGCGCGAAAATATGTAGCGATAGATCTCATTCTCATCCCCTTCTTTCATAGCATATGTAGATTGACTAATGTCGGCTTTAAGTGATTAAGAAAATGCAATAAATAATTAAACAAAAAAGATACCGTTTTTCTTTTCAATTTACATTCACAACATGATACATACATATACATATAGCTGTTTATATACACATATATTTATTTCTGTACACGTACGTATACTTGTTTGGTTGGAAATAGTGTAATTATTACCATTGAATGAAGAATGAACAGTTTTTGCCGAATAGAAATTATTTCAATCAGTATAACTAATGACTAGGCATTCACAATGAAAAATATTAATGATAATAATAATAATGTAATAATAATATTAATAATAGTAATTACATTCTGCTTTTGTAGAAAAAAAACGTTTCATAAAAAATAGTAATAATAATAGCAGTAATAGTAATAAAATCACACACACATACTCCTCCCTGCCTGTAATTATTCTTCTGCATCAGTTAACACCATCAATGGTTTATTGAATACCACGGACTTATTGGTGTTACTATTACACTTCTGTGGCGGAATTATAATTCTATGCCCATAAGGGATACCAGCTGCGCCTAGACCAGCCAGCACCAATCTCTTCAGTGCTTTTTTCTCCTTTTTCACTTTACCACAGTGTAGAATGAAACGTTTAAAGGCTTTACGCAGGTCTTCTGATGCAGACCCATAGATAATAGGATTTAGTGCTATACAGGCAAATTTAAACCAGTAGAAAATATCATAAACTGTCAATGGTGAAAGACATACACTGGGCATATAATCGGTAAACAATATGATAGTATAAAATGGTAACCAACAAAAGACAATTGAACTGATATTTATCAAATACATACAGATAGCTTTGATTTCAATTGTGTGCTTTACATTAATCCTGTAGGCATGATAACCAGGACTACAGCCTGAAGGTGACAGTGGGACATCACTAGAAGGTAATGCATACTGATCAATTGGATTACTATTTCTTGGTGTCATTTGTGTTGTTGACAGACTTGAGATATTTTCAGAATTTCGCGCTGAATAGATATATTCATTACTGATCGAGGAACAAGCAGCACTTGGATGTAACGGCATGAGAGCACATCTCCGTAGTGTACTAATATCTGTAAATTTTGCATCTTTATCATTTTTCCCTGTTGAACGTCTTGAATGCACCAAATCTAAAGGTTTTAAACTCGCCTCTGAGGATAGGGTGTGAAATGAATGTTTACGGAGGATATTTTTAAGTTTTCTTTTCAAAGGTTGTTGTTGCTGTTGTTGTTGTTGATGGTGGCAGGGTGTAACATCCAGTTTATTTCTGTTTATTTTAAATGTCATTTCAGACAGTGTACTTGATAGCTTTTTATTACTTTTTGACTTGTAATTCGATTTTTCTAAATCCGATAAAAATAATTCATTGAATTTACGTCTTGATGGACCACAATCGGATTCATGTCTTTCTTTCTTACTAATCCAGTGGTAATACACAACTGGGATTGATTTTCACGTGGATTAAGGTGTTGATGTTCACTGTCTGATGATTTATGTATTGATGAATTTAATGTTACTGAGGAGGCATGTCTTCCATTCTTTTTGTCGTTTCCATCTTGTTGTTGTTGTTGGTGATTTAAAGTATCATCGTTAGACTTGTTAATACTTGTACTACTATGATAGGGTTGATTAGTAGCAGTTGTCGGTGTGGACAATGCTGTTTGGGCTGGTGTATTACTGATATGATTTGTTTGAAATGGTCTACCACCGACATGAACTCTTAGAAGACCACAATTCGACTTATAATTCCTTTTATTGCCAGCATTACTTTTATTGTTATTATTATTACCATTATTATTATTATCATTATTATTATTATTAGCGTCGCCTTGATCGTCAGATGTGTTATTCTTCTTTTCTGGATTATCAGTGCTAATCTTTGTGTCAGCAGCATTTGTGCTTTTTGATATAGTACTACACTTTTTATCACTTTTCTTATTGCATACGCTTTCATTATCAATTAGTAAGCCAATTGAAATGCCACGTTTATTTACAACCACTTTAGAAAAGACATGAAAATAAAAATAACATATTAAAATTGTTGGCACGTATACTGCGCCTATTGTAATAAATATGCGTATATAACACTTACATTGATTAAACTACATGGATACTTCATGCATCTATTCCCAATGTGATATGAATATGCATAGTCAGTGTCTATAGTTAACATATTCTGTGTTGCTGTTGTATAATTCCAGAGTAGACTGATTAATAATGGCAGTGTAATAAATAAGGCTAAAATCCATATCAGGAGGATTAGGAGGCGTACACGTGTATTTGACATCATCTGATTATATTTCACCGCATAATTAACAGCCATCATTCTATCCAAAGCGATAACAACTAAATTAAACATATTTGTTGAACAGAAATATACATCAGCTATAATCCATAAATGACAGAGAATATGACATGGAATCCAGCTCACTTTGAGGATAATATATGCAATAGAAATAGGCATTAGTAGGCAGGCGAAACCAATATCTGTGATAGCTAGATTGATTAAGAATTTACGTGTTGCATCAAAACGTTTATTTTTTGTTCTCAGTAGTATAATAATAACAAACAGACATGAACCAAATATCCATAAATTGATTGTCGATGCTATACAGAATGAAATGATTATCGATGGGGAGGTAATAATCTCCGTGAAATTCCAGGTTTGATTACATTCATCATTAATAATGAAATCGAAGGATTTATTATTATTCATATTGTTGACAGCAGTTATATCCTCGTTTTCGCTTGACAATCCATACATGCACAAATAGACACGGTGTACGTGTTGATTTTAAAATGACTGAGTGTTTGTTACCTAAGTTATGCTGCTTTCAAATATCAAAGAATAATATGAAAATCATTATTACATAATATTATTCTTATTGGATCAACCAATCAGAATTTTTTCAATAATGATCTTTTATTCTGATTGGTCGATACTAAAATTAGTTAGTAACTGCGTGGGTGTATTTCGGAAAATAATGATTTCTCTAATTCTCAATTACTGATTATTATTCACTTATTATTTAGACAGGCAGAGAGATAATATCACAAAAACTATCCACGCACGCACACACACGCATCAATCCACACTACATCGTGGTAATTTCGTATGAATTCGCTACTATATCTGGTTATATTTGATGACTCAGTGCTTATGACAACAAAATTTTATATATTTAATTAGTTCTCCGCGAAAAGTATGCTTCCTTAACACTGTGATTCCAACGATTCATTCAGCAAACTGGTCTGAACTTTATGGAATTTCAGTGATTACATTTGACTAAAGTTCATGGTCGTAGATAACTAAATATGCGTATGTCTCAGAGATTTCTAAAAGAATATTTCGTCTGACTTTTTACAATAAGAAGTTAAGGCACTCAGGTATAACCCAACCGCTTCTCTTACAGCTTGTCAACTCGTGCATGTTACCTATTCTTTTTTACTGTTCACCCTTATTCTTAACTGGATTACTTAAAAAAGACTATGCCATACTTCGTAGAACTCTGAAGACTGTTAGTCAGTAGGGCGAGTGGTATGCTATCCATTGGGCCGAATCGTTAACATTTTCATTCATAGGCATTTGACGTCATGCAACAAATTCGCTAAAGGAATGTTATCAGACTGTGACCATCTACCACAGCACCTTCAGCTTCAACCTTGTGTCTCCTCATGTAAAATAAGAAGTCTTTTCATAAGACTTTATGCACGTACGTGTAAGTACAGAAATTCCCCTATACCATATATGGCAGCAAGTACTTTATGTGATGTAAATAGTGTTAGGCATGAACTAACTAACCTTCTTTGCACTACTGAATAAACCATTTCATCCACCCATACAACATCAACCTTTATTGTTATTGTATTTCTTATATTAATAATCCTCTCAATTTTTTGTTTTTATTCGTTTATTTATTATTTACTAAGCTGTGTTATAACTGTTAATTTTGTATTTCTTCTCACCATGCTGCTATATCAACACAACATTAGATTCAATGCTCTATAATGACATGCTAAAATTTCCAAACTGAATCGACAATACTGTTTGCAACAAACTCACTGTTATTATTATTATTATATTTAATATGCTGGATTCGTATTTCAAATATCTTTGACTATATATCGTAATTGTAGACGAATTCCTCTGGTTACTTTTGTTTTAATTTTTAATTTTATTTATATTTTAAGTAAGTGAGATGCAAGGTGTTGTGACAAATGCAGAGAATTCCATTCTGTATTATAAGTACTGTTTTTTGAATAAAGTTGATTATATTTAGGATACAATGGTGTTTGTATGCGGCAGTAATTGTAATTCATTTGTTAGCCTCTTCATAAGAAGACATAGACAATCGGGGATTTAAATCATGTGTGACTGATGAGTGATACATATCCATTTTTATTTATTAATCAGGAATTGACATGTTTCAACTAACATCACACCTTCACGTCTGTTCAAAATTTCGGGATTCACCCATATAAATATATAGGGCTTCTGCAATCAGTCATCCTTAAAATAAACTAAAAGGCTTTCTGTAAAACCTTATTCCTATCATAGCTGATCTTGTGTCCCGTTTTTGTAGAGTGAAATGCAATCTCTGATCTATTTTGCAGCATCTATAAGTCTGAGGAGGTCTTTGGAATCACCTTTTAGGGATTGTTTGTGCTACTTTAATCTTACATTCACCTGTCTGGAAGTTTCTCCTACCTATGCAGACTTATAATGCCTATAATTGATATGGTTAACGCACTTTCGTTAGATATCTTCTTCTATTTTATCTTCAACCATCACTGGTGATGAGTATAAGATGTCTACTACACGAAAAAATGTCATGATGGTTAAGAATTTATTTAAATGTTTGACACAAAAGTACACTTCCATTATGGGTAAATTTTTGTTTTTAATAAAGTTTCACAGTGTTATACAGTAATGATTACTGATGACGTTTCGAGCACAATTTATTGCCACTCATAATCATATCAAACTGAAGCAAGATTCACAAATCTCGAATTTTTACCAGTCGATGTTGAAAAAAATCATATTATTCCAAACTGTTTACGTCTACGTACTCCAATTACTTCAAGAAAAATAACATCAGCAGCTGAACATCACAGTAGATTACGTCTAAGAGAAGAACTACATCGAATTACTGTGAAACTAAATAATATACGAAATGAAATCGAAAAACTCAAACAGAAACTCTAATTTATGGTCAATGACAAAGATTATGCAATCGTTGTTGAAACATCCGAAAAAGCTTGAGAATCAGCCTTAAGAAAATAAAACATCACACAAATCAAAAAATTCAACAAACTAATGGAAGAAAAGAACACAACAAATGAAATTGATGTCAACACTTCATCCTCTATCGACAGAACAAAGTGGGTAATCAACCTCTCATCAAGGAAACTAAGCTCTAGTGAGATAAAAGTACTTGAGAAAGGACTAAATTTCAACGTAACAGTTAATAAATTAAAACCAGAGGATGTCATTCCTAACAGAGAAGTAGCACTAAGCTCAACAGATAAGATGACAGCAGAAGAGGTTGGAGCACAATGTGCATTAACCCTGAAAAATCAAAAGAAAACAAAGTCAAACTTAACAAAATCGGAAAGAGAAGCTTTAATTAGTCTAAAACAGGATAAAAATATTGTCATCGCAAAAGCTGACAAAGGAAACCCCACTGTAGTTCTGGATAAATCTGACTATATCAAAAAAGTTACTGAACATATTCAAACGGGTCCATATGAAGAAATTAAGAAGCCTGTAGACACAATAATGAATAAGGTTAAGAAATCTACAGCAGAACTTATACGCAGAATGAAGCCGTCACTGGGTGAGTCAAAATGGTTTAATTTAATGCCCAAAACTAATAATGCTAGTAGAATATATGGTACTATTAAAATACATAAGCCAGGTTACCCCATACCACCAATAGTAGATTTTAGAAATACCCCTACATATGAATTATCAAAACACTTAGCTCTAATATCATGCCCCATTAGAAATCGTTCAAATTCTAGACTAACTAATTCATATAAGATGAAAAACAAACTAAACGACATTCAACTAGAGAATGATGAAAAATGGTTAGTTTTGATATAACTGGTCTTTATACTAATAAACCAGTCAATATGGCTTTAGAAGCAGTTAAAAAAGAACTAACTGCGGATCCTGAACTCAATCATAGGACAAAGCTACCCATTGAACAAATTATGTTAGAAAATTCAGTTATGCCTCACGTCTACTATCTTTAAGTTACAAGGCAAAATATGTAAACAAACAGAAGGTGTAGCAATGGGATCACCAATATCCCCTATCGTAGCAGACATATTTATGGACAGCTGGGAAATTAGTGCCTTCAATACATTTAATCCTACTCCAAAAATATGGTGGAGATTTGTGGATGACACTTTCACAGTGTTAAAAACAGAACATATCTCTAGCTTCTTGACACATATAAACACACAAGTTGAGGGAATAAAATTCACATTTGAATCGGAAAATAAACAAGGAGAATTAGCTATGTTAGATTGTAAAATAAAACGAATAGAAGAAGGTAAACTACACACTAGTGTGTGCAGAAAACCAACTCATTCCAATAGATACTTAGACTTTAATTCATCTGATCCGTTGACTGTTAAGGCAGGCTTAGTTAAGTGTTTAACAAACCGAGCAGTGGCACTAAGTAGCACAAAAACAGATCTAAATGATGAATTAAAACAGATAGAAGAAGCGTTGGTGTTGAATAACTATCCTATAAAATTCATTAGGAAGATCATTAAAGGCCAAAAACAAAGTAAAAATAAAAATAATTGTGAAACTAGTAATAATAACATAAATAAGAAAGAATATAAGTCATCCGCAGTTATACCATATAAAGAGGGGACATCTGAAACCCTATGTAGGATTGTAAATAAAGCAGGAATTAGGGTGGCATTTAAACCTACAAACTCACTCGGGGACAAGCTGTGTAGGTTAAAGGACCCAGTTGAACCAATTAGACAAAATAATATAATTCACAAAATACCATGCAATGACTGTAAGGTCAACTACTTAGGTCAAACTGGTAGGTCGGGCGGGGTAGTCAGAATGTCAGAACATAAGAATTTAGCTAAGGTTAGAATGGTTGACCCTGAAAAGATAAGTAAGTTAGAAAAAAGCTCAGCAATTGCTATGCATGTATTAACACACAACCACACAATAGGATGGGAGAGGGTTAAAATTCTAAAAAGTAATCTAGATAGGTGGAGAGAGAGGTTGATTACTGAATCCTTGTTCATCGAGTCTACACCAAACACATGCAATAGGAATGACTCGTCACTCATACCTAAAATATGGAAAATACTATCACCAATCAATTCAAGTGAAAATCAAGAGAATAACAATGGAACTATATAAATGAATTTATCAAGTCGTGTGATTACCTTGATATGATTATGAGCAATAAATTGTGCTCGAAACTTGGTCATCAGTAAACATTACTGTATAACACTGTGAGACTTTATCAAAACAAAAATTTACAGATAATGGAATTATACTCTACCACATTGCACACGTTTTATTCTTATATCAACAAACGTACACGCTGTTTAGTAAGAGTAGACTGGAAACTGTAAGTCTCTAGTCCAATTTTGATGGCAGTTCATGCAATTTTGTTTATTATATATTCTGATGATTGTTCATGACTCATATGATGGAACAAGGTCATTTCTATACATAAACTTCAGTTACTTTAATTTTGTTGATATGATTTTTATATG